AGTCAATGCCGTGTTAGTTTGTAGTGGCAGAATTCCACACAGATGCCTGTCAACCTTCTATGTGAAGGTGTCTTTTTAATAAGAAAAGATTAACCATTGTTCTTCTTAGTGATATTTACCTGCACAAGTTGGTTACATGCACTCACCATTACAATGTCTTAATACAATGGCAAGATGGTGTGCACACATTCAGAGACACACAAATGCTTTGGGTACCATCAGATCTGTCTATATTGCATAAATATTTGGGAAGAGTCCAACTAGTAAAGAGCTTCAGAAAATAAATGTCTTTGTAAGGATCAGCTGGGATTCAAACCAGAAATCTTCTGGTCTGCCTGTTGATGTTGCTTCATGTTGATGAACCACTACAGAAACAAGGGCAAATGGAGACCATCCTCTTCAGGTTACAGCATGGTATCACTGTGTCATTTCATGCTAGCATGCTTTGCTTTTGCTATAGGACTCACCTTTCCTTTGGTGGGTGTTTTCTGAAAGTTTTGAAAAAGGGTCAGATTGTTGTTTTCTAAGCACAAAGAAAAATCTGTTGACTCTTATACATTGTTTTGACTTTCCTTGAGCCCACTGTGATTTTTGCTAAGCACCTGAGGATAAAGTAACTGCCTGTCCCAGATGTGAATGCAGGTCAGGTTCCGAATATCTTCAGAGATCAGTCTAGTTAATAATGTTACGTTGGATTTTGGTTGCTGAAGCCTCAGGATGTGGATAAGGCGCTCCAAGAGGTTTGTCCTACCATTGGTTGCTTATCGCTTTCTTGTTGGGGATTAAATGGTTGGGAACAGGAGGTAATTAATATCTTTTCTCTTTTTTTAAGGAAGTAGCCTTGGCCAGCTTGAAGGAGACAGAAACCAAGCCTTATGAAGAACAGTTGAAGGAGCTGAGTATGTTTAGTCTGGAAAAGAGAAGACTGAGAGGAGATATCATAGCCATCATGATAAAGGGTTGCAACATGGAAGAGGGAACAAGCTTGTTTTCTCCTGCTGTGGAGGAGTAGGACCTGTACCAATGGCTTCAAGTTACAAGAAAGGAAATTCCAACCAAACATCAGGAAGAACTTTCTGACAGTAAGAGCTGTTTGACAGTGGAATGGTCTCTCCTCCATTGGAAGTTTTAAAGCAGAGGTTTGATGCTTTACTTGAGATTCCTGCATTGCAGGGGGTTGTTGGACAAGATGACCCAGGGTACCTTCCAATTCTATGATTCCATGTGACTAATCCTTAAAAATGCTCTCCTTGGGTTTTTATTTATTTATCTGTTTGCTAAAAAGCTGTAAATAATCACAAGACTCTAAGGTGTACATAATAAGGCTGTCAATAAATCACAGCCCAAATCCACAAAACTGTTTTTAAAATATACATGATATAATTATGAATAAGTAGAGATAAAATCAGTAAAAACTTTTAAAAACCAACATAAATAACTAACTTACACGTCTGGGTAGGCTTGCTGAAAAAAAATATTCTTAGTAGTCATCTAATAGAATATGTTCTAACTTCTGACTAGTCACAACCCTTTCCTTCCTAACAGAGCAACTCCCCTCCCCTCGTGCCAGGCTGGCGGTGTGTGTCTGGGGATTTGGTGGACCTGTCCCTCTGCCTGGCTCTCCCCGCTTAGCCAGCCTCCCGCTAGCCCCCGTCAACAGAGTGGCGGTTGGCGTAACACTCCCCTCCATCCATCAGACATGCAGGAGGGTGGAAGTGCCGTTGGCAGGATAGTCCCCAGCAGCAGCAAGCAGAAGACCCTGAAGCTGGGTGTTCTAGAGGCGGGGAGTGGGCAGGGTTGAGCCAAGCTCACTGCTGGTGCATCGGGCCCAGCCTAGGCCCAATTTCACTGGCTCAGTTATCTTGCTGCCCCTCCCCCCACCTTCCACCCTGCTCACCATGGGCAACACGGCTGTGGGGGTGAGGGTGGCCTCACCAGTGGGGGCAAAGAAGAGGTTTGGATTGTGACCTATGTTGTTCAAGTAGGTAGCAGCAATTCAACTCTGGACATTTTGGATGACGTTGATTATCTAGATCCATATCAATCCGTCTTGGTCACCCTGGCATCGTTTCTGCAAGGTGGTCAGGCCAGGGGATCCTGTTCATTAAGAAACCAGTAACTATCTGTCAGAAGTGGCGTCATTGAGAGCTTAGGACCTGGCCCCCTTTGTCTTTGTCATTTGATTGAAGTGGAGCTCGAGGAAATTATGAACAGCTGCCTGAGGTCAGTAGGAATGAGAGCTACAAAAAATTGTTCAATCCAGATAATCTGAAGGCACAGTTGGGGAGGGGTAGAGGTGGCACAACTGGTGCGGTTTTACCTTATTTTACTGTTCTGGTCTGTGACCGGAAGCCATCTAGTACATTTTTTAAAAAAGAAAATTAAAATGTAAATGCCTTGTATAAATAATGTTTCACCACAGCAAAACATCAAAGTTCACTTTTGCTTTAGTTGAAATTTGGTGGGGATTTCACTGTAAGTGTGTGCTAAGTTAGCTTCGCTTAACATCGCTTGGAGCAGAGCCAGCGTGCATTGCTAAATGGAAAGCCGTTTCTTCTCTCCCAAAACATTCCTTGGCAATTTTTCCAGGTAGCCTGCGGGTCAGATTACTTGCACAACTTTCTCTTTAGCAGCCTTCACGAGGTCTGCCGGCACAGCTCACAGGCAGAACTGGGTCCTGGGCATTTCTTATTTAGGATCTGGAATATAAAAATATTTGGGATATCAAGAGGGAAACTGCTTCAGAATCACCAACAAGACATGAAATTCTGTAGCCAAAGGCTGCTGCCCAATGCCTTTATTAAAGGTTGGTTTTACACTGACACACATCTGCTATATTCAGGAATTTGAAGAAGTGGAGAGGACTATAGTGGCACTGTGCCAGAAATCACAATTAATGTACCATAATGGCCTTTTAAGGGGAAACCCTGTAGAACTGATTGAGATCACATAAAATATTATGCTAAGCCCCACAGTGAATGAGTGCTCTTCTGTCACTCCTGTTTTATTTCTATTTCCCTCCTGTATTTCATTCTAAACACTGTGTTTTGTCTCAAGCTTTTGCTAAAAGGCAGTAGATCAGAGATACTGCAGCAGCAGTGGCCGGAGAATTCCATGCAACATGTAATCTGTCACATGATCTCGTCCACTGGCATGTTGTTCTGCACTGATCTTATGCTTTTAAGGAAAAGTGATCTAGTGAGAGAAGGGTGGGGAGCAGAGGGTGAGAGAGAGATGGTCTGACACATCTGGAAAGGCAGAGGTGCAAGAAATGGGCCAACCCACAAATTTGTTCAGTGTTTGGAGGTGCGGACTCAAAAGCTGTGCTGATTTATTATTGTGTATCTTTGTGTAGTCTTGGTTCGTTTTGACACTTTGGAGGAAATAAGCCTAGGATGCTGCCCTCAGCTGGGGGGGGGAGGGGGAGAAGTATCTGTATTTCGAAAATAGTTTTGAACAATCCAGGAAGCAGGAGTAAGGGAGAAACACATCCTGGGATACACAAGTTCCTATCCCAGTCCCTCCATGAAACATGTGAAACCATGGCTTACTGGCAAGAAGCAAATGTTTGGGTTTCCAGAGTAAAAGTTGGAACCACTTCACTTCTCCTCTGCTCCTGCTCCTGCTGTGCTGTCGAGGACTAAGCCATTGCATTAGATCTGACCCTACTATCTGAGTCCAGCTAAGTTGACTATCTCACTCAGAAAATGAAGAATTTGTAATAATCCTCCTGTTGTTCGGGATCTGTCCTCCCCAGGCCTGCCATTTTGTCCCAGAGTGAGGGAAGAGGAAGACTGGTGATGATCTACGTTATGCCTTTTAAAGTTTCTTCACATTTTTCTAGTTTCTGTATTACAAGAGATCATCCACCCAAAATATCAGGTGATTTAGCCCAAATGCAGCTTGATGGAGCTGACGTTTTCAGGAGCTAAAGGCATTGACTTCAGGTGGCAAGATTAAGGGTTACTATTAGAGAGTGGCAGTGCCTTATTTTTATTTGTTTTTAATAAAACATCAAGGACACCCTCTGGATTTTCCACCTCAAGATAACAATATTTGATTCCACTCAGGCAGGATTGAATTCATTTTAGCCAACTCATGTAGCCTAAAGTTGGCCCTGTGCGTGGCTGACTGCTCACTGAAGCCAGGGTCACGCTACCACAACAGCCACGTTAGAAATTACTACATTTTACATGACCCAAGTACTGAAAGCATCCGGAGGGAGAGTGAGGTGAGGGCAAAATAATGCTTTCTGTGCTGTGGTGTGAGATGGACGGAAACTTCTCTTGCATTTGAGCTCGCCGCAACAGTGGCAGCACATCAACACACGCCAAATACGCCGTACACTCCATAGTCTGAGAGGTGATTTTGCGCACCCCCAGCGGGGGCTAATTTTGCTAACTCCTAGGTACGCCTTTGACTGTAGCTGGGTCTGCAAGAAAGCAGTTATCCATTTGTGCTGTTGCTCAGTAGATCAGTTTTTCAGCATACCGTAAGACAAGGGATTATTCATATTTGCTTTGCTTGGCTGTCCTTTGCCTATAGTGGATCACGCTGCCTCACTGTGACCATCATATTGCCAGTGCTTTTTTTTCTGGGGTGACTCAGGGCTACGCACACCCCTAAAAATTTTGTGAATCTTTGTACTTTTGTCCATTTACTGTATTTATTTTCCCCGATTTGAACTATAAAATGGTGATTTTCTTGAGTCAAAATGAGAGTACCCCTAAACATTTTATAAGGAAAAAAAGCACTGCATATTGCCATTGCAGGACCAGGACCTCTCTGGTTGATCCTGCTGGAGTTTTGAAGCTCAGAATGGCTTAATTCCCTAAAATGTGCTTACTCTTGGAAAGAGTAGAATACTATTTAACCTTAAAATTAGACCTTTCTCTCTCCCTCTCCGTGTATGTGCAAGATGGGGGAGTACTTATTCAAAACCTTGTTTTCCATCACTAGTTAGGATATCACAGTTGAAATCGGACTCTCGCAGCAAACTCCCCGAAGACAGCAGCATAATAAAAAGGTCTTTAAGGTCTTTTCTGAAAGATGCAGAATGAATGCCCCCTCTCTTCCGGCTTTCTCCTCTTCCCAGTAAGAATTAGAAAACGATTCTCCCCGTACGGACATGTGATCCAAGCTAATGACAGCAAACGAGAATGCCAGCTGCCGTCCCGGTGTGGCTCTCGTCTTGTTCCTCTGCTCCTCAAGGTAACTTTGTGCTTCTTTGTTCCAGCCTTGCTTGTTGAAAAAAGATGCAAGAAGTCAGGAGGGGTTTAGGAAACACTTTGTGCTTTTTATAGCACTTTTCATTTAGATACTACAAAGCATTCTTTATATGTTTAGCTGTTATCACACAGGGCAAAAGAAAATAATCTAAAATGTGAGTAATTACACTAGCCCTTTGGAAATAAAAATATATTTAATTGATTAATACTTTTGGCAAGGGATTCTTAATATGGTGTGCATTGTCAAAGATACTTAACGTCATGCAGTTCAAAAGCTTTTGACGTTTAAAAAAGGCACCCCGGTTAATGTGGAAGTGGATTTTTCTTTTTTCTTTTGACAAAATTAATTATTTCAGTGCAACTAGTTTTAGAAGAAGCATTCTTAATCTCTCTCACAGGATGGAATGCCCCTTCTAAAACACAAAAATGTGTAAAATTTGTAAATTCAATAAATAAAATTTATTGTAAAACTACACACCAATGCCTTCTGGAACATGTACGTGCCACAGTTCCAAACAAAGGCCTGGTTTGGATGTGTGCATCTTGGTGTAATAAATCAAGATACACATAAATCTTGTGTGCCTGTGCACAGTGGACTCTGTGCTTGCCATATTTGACCCAGGAAGTCTTAAATTACAGGCAACCATATTTCCTATGACTTCCAAACTGTGAAACTGTGGCACCAGGATAGGAGGAAGACAGACCCTTAAAAGCCAAGAAGTGAGGAAGGAGCGGGAGCTCAAAAGCTAAGCATGCAGAGGCAAGGCTTAGGCATAAATCTAACCAAAGATAGATTTCCCTTCCTCTTTGAGACCTGTTTTATTAATATGCACATGTATGCAGAATTAGGGTGCAATCCTACACATACGTGCGACAATTTCTGAATAAATATGCAAAGGATCACAGTTTTAATTACTGCTTATTGTGAAATAGTAATATAAATGGCCCATTCTTCTTTAAAATAAATCTGAGCAGTTTACAAACCAAAGCAAAATCACATTATGACAGTAAAAACACAGAACAGCATAAAGCAGGTAAGTAATCTTACCATCAAAATTGAGATAGCACCAGATCAAGAAAGGGGGAAACAACCCTAAAAGAGAATATAAAGCAACTAAAAGAGCCTTCAGTCCTTGTCAAAGGCTGCTCTGAAAAGCAAGATCTTAATTTGGCATCAAAATGGGTTCAGTGTTGGGGATTAGGCCTCCCTATGTTATTAATATAGTAATTAATCAGTTAAATTTAATGGGCTGCATTCCATGATAGTCATACTCAGAGCAGACCCACAGACATTAATGGACCTATTAAACAGGCCCATTAATTTAAAGGAGTCTACTTTGAGTAGAACTTAGTTGGTTGCAACTTAATATGATTAATCAACCAAAATTTCAATTCACAAAAACCCCATAAAATACAATTTCTGTCCAACATTTAGCTGCTACATAACTGTTATATTTATTTGTTCTTTCAGGATTGCTATGCTCTAGATTGTCTCTTTGGCCATATTACTTAGGGTTGCTTCTTTTTCCAGGACACGTCCTCTTTTTTAAAAATGAGAGTTGTGATAGTGATCTTTTTTGCTCTGCAAAATATGGCAACCCTAAACTGCTTGCCGAATTGCTTCAGTGAATCCTAAGCAGCATAAACACAGCAGATGCTATAATAATTAACAAAACCTAAAGTCGGTGTCTGTGTGTGGAGAATAGTTTCAGTGAAAGGGAACAGAAGTTGCTTCACTTTGCCCCTTCAGAACTGCCAGCCACAACCGGCAAAGCAGCACAATCTCAAGGGTGAGATTGCAGCACAATCTCAAGGATGCCCCACCCATCTTTGCCACAGCCGCCATGAAGCCCCACCTGGGGGGCGGGGTAGCAGGGGGCAGACCTTCCTGTTTTCCCTCAGGGGAAAGTGGGATGCACTGCCCCTGCTGTAGAGCATTTAAATGGGTCTCACTTATTGGAGTTCTAACTCCTCAGTGCTTGCCAGTTGTAACAGAGCTGAATGCCTGGTTTCTGGCCCACCAGCTGGTGATGGTGCCACAGAGGCAGGTCATGACGTGGTTACCTTCTCCCTGCTAGTAAAGTGAATCCCCACATGTGGGTACCAAAAGAGGAAGGGACGGGGGCTCTTAAGGGGGTCTCCGCAGATTGGACAGACTTCCCCCCACCTGCCACAGGTTACGCATGGAAATCATTCTCTATGAAAACAGCCTGACTTTGCCAACCCTACTCAATGCGCGGCAGCCGTGAAAAGGGCAAATTCCATGCTAGTGTTCATTATGACAGCAAATGAAAGTAAAACCGCTGATGTCATAATGCCGTTATACAAATCTATGGTGCGATCACATTTGGAGTTTTGTGTACAGTTCTGGTTGCCTCACCTCAGAAAGGATACCATAGAGTTGGAAAAGGTTTAGGAAAGGGCCAACTCATTTGACACTTTTTTCCAGGATGACAAGGAGCCAACTCTTTGGGTTCTGTCAGTCAACCAGCTACAAATCCATCTAACAGTTACCTCTTTCAACACACATTTCACCATCTTCCTCGTGAGAATATTATGGGGGACTTCGTCAAAAGCCTTGCTGAAATCAAGATACACTATGTCCACAGCATTTCCCTAATCCACCAAGTTTGTAATTCCATCAAAAAAAGGAATCAGATTGGTCTGGCATGACTTACGGTATTTTTGAGAAACCCATGGTGGGTCTTAGTAATCACAACATCCTTTTCTAAATGCTCACAGATGGACTGCTGAATTATCTGTTCTAGGACCTTCCCTCATATCGATGTCAAGCTCACCGGTCGGTAGTTACCTTCCCCCCCTTTTTGTCTGCCTCCAGTGCTTAGGGAGTGGGAGGCAACAGAAAACAGTGCATCTACATTAGTTACTTCTATATTGAATCAGAATTTCTATGTTGAATCAGAGTGCTAGAAGCCATTTTCTTTTGTTGCAGGACCTGGTTATAGATTTTGTTTTTGAGAGTTCTACATTTCTTAAAAGAAGCCAGCCTTTGACTCAGCCCGTTTAAACTGTTGTTAGCCCATCCAAAATGCAAATTTGTCTTGATTTGCTATCTCACTATGATTAATCGTGCAGTTAGCATGACATATTGTTAACAATAAACATGTGATGGAAATGCAATGTCAATAGATTTCCCCCCTTTGCCCTGACGTTGGGTGGCTGTTCCTCAAGCTTATGCTGTAGCATATGTTAGCACAACTCTTGAATGAGCAAACCAGATATACTGTCTCAAACACCTTTCTCAGCCAAAAAGGCATCTCTTTAACCAGATGGCTTACCGTATGTAAGGAGCTAGTCATCAAGCCAGTAGCTAGCAGCCAATCTAAAATACAGTACAGCATAAACACATGATCCAACGCTTCCTGGATTGTACAATGCCAGACTGCAGGTATTTGAATAAAGTATTTGAATACTCCTACATCAGACAACAAATTTCTTGCACGTAAACAACTAACACATTAGGAAGAAGAGTAGCACATAAGCCTTCTTCCTGACCTGGTAGTGTGGTTTGTTTTGGTTTTTTGTATAGGGTCGTTTTGGGGATGGATAAGAATTCGAAGATGCAAGACACCCCCCAAAACAACAACAACAACAACAACAACTCTGCAATGGAAATGGTGCAGTCTATAGCTTGTCTGGCCTTCATTGGAGGGTGACCAGTTTCTGCCATCGTGGGGGGTTGGGGCGAGACTAAACCCTAGTGCCCTGCTTTCTATTGTCTATTTCTATTTCTGGTACAATCCCTGTAGTTTAAAGCAGTTTAAAAGTGAAGGCATCCACTTCCTTTTTGAAAAGAACCATAGTGGGAAATATTTATTTCTCCTATACAAAAGGAAAGAAATGCATTAAATCTTTCTTCTCTTTGGTTTAAAATAAAATGCTTCTGTAGTAACAGTGTGAAAATTTGGAACAGTGTGACAATCCCAGGTAGTTGGTCCCCCCCCCCTTTCTCTTTCATTTTTTTAGTCCGCTGCATCAATCAAGGAATGTTTTTGCCCTGATATTTTTTTGCTTGTGCCGCTATGCCAGCGTGTGACATGGCTGACAATAAAGGCAGCCTGTATTTGTTCCCCTTGCAGCTGAGGACAAAAGGGTCAGAGAAAGTGCTTTGCGTTCTTTCGCTTAGCCATTCTGTTTCGTTATGAGAGAGTTGCTTTAAGCCAGGCCTGCTCAGCCCAAAGCCCTGTTTAGACATAAGAGTCATATCTCACTGATCCAGCTACTCCCAGCTTGCATTAGGTTCACCCTCCACTGGTGTCTTGAGGCTGGGAAATGAATCGCTGAGACTTATGCCTTTTTGACAGAGAGCTTAATGCAGCTCAGCGAACTGGAGTTGAGCTAAGTGTGCCACGGCAGTCTGGGTCTGATGTGTTTAAACTTTGGGCTGTGCAGCTCAGCATCTAATGGTGGGAGGTTCTCCTGCCAGCCCCCACCTTTGACAGCCCATAGATGGCTAGAACAGATTGCTAATTTCCCCTGCTCCTGCCCCTCTTCATCTGCCTAAAAAGAGGCTCAGAAGCAACAGCGACTTTAGAAACGGAGCCTCCTCTTTGTTGCTCTAAACAAGGATGTTCTGGGACTTTTTGCGTTCCTTTTGGGTCGCCACTTCTTTTTAACTTACGAGCCTGTGTTCAGACACTGAAAAAGGTCCTCCTAAAATATAGGAGAGGGATGCACTGTGATGAGAGTAGCATTTTTCATCCAAAAAGGCTGCAGTCCCTAGACAGGCATTGGCAGTAATACTAATTCTGCCTCTTTCCACTTCATCTCACTGGTTTCATATTGAAAGGTTATTTTGCTTTTGCTTGTTTCCGTTGTTTCAAACCCCACACAACTTTACAAACAAGTGACGTTTTGATGAGGGAATTGAATGACAGTCTGAAATTCGTCCTCATGTTTACTTATTTATTTTTAATTTCTTTTTATTAGTTTCAATTCACTATACAACACCAAACACTAATAAAACAAAAAAGACAAATCGAAAGAACAAAAAAGAAAAGAAAAACATTACATAACAAAAAACACCAACAAATTAAACATACAATAACTAAATAACAAGACAATAGTTGACTTCCCTTCAACTCGGTTTTGGACTATGTTACAAAAGGTTTTCTTTCTGCAGTTTCACTTTCTTAAATCTCTTTACGTCGCAGGCGCTATATCGAGCCTACTGTGATTTTTAAATTTCTTACATCTGTTTCAATATATGTCAAAAATTTATTCCATTCATTGTTAAACTTTGTACCTTTTTGGTTTCTTATTTTTTGTGTCATTTTTGCCAAGTCTATGTATTCAAATAATTTGATTTGCCAATCAAATTCGTCCTCGTGTTTAGATGAAAAGTATACTATATCCAAAATAATGTTCCCTGTGATCTTAAGGGTGACCTTTGACATGGCCTGCTTTAAAAAGTGGCTTCATAGGATGACTAACTCAAGAGTTAACAAGCCCAATTTATCCGGTCTTTTAACTGAAGATGTACCACAGGACTTTACCAGTTCCTTGCATCTGATCCATATCTCTTGAATTCACATTCATCCTTCCTAGGAGGGATCGTGTTAAAGCCAGACTGCTGAGATTTCCCTTGCAAACTCTATTTAAGAAGGAGATTCACACACATGCTGAGGATGTTCACTTAAAGTTAACTCTAGTGGTCTGGAAAGCCAAGAAAAGCTAAGAAATTCAAGGCTAGAGCTAAACCTTTGCTCCACATTGTAGAAGTGTGGCTGTTTTGGCTTATGCTTTATAGAAAGTGAGATTACAAACTGTTTGAATTGTCTTGATGTATTACAGCTACAGGACTATAGGTTGTATTTCAGAGAAAACCATTCACTCGGCCACTGACATACACACCCGTGAATGTCGCTGAAAGGATTAAGTGGCAAAACATCTGGGCTGAAATATTTGAGCTGTTTACTCTGGAGTAATCTCAGTCTGACTGCTCTGAAATAAGTGGCTTGATCACTGAGACCAGGTGGAGCTATTTTTTCCTTTAGAATGGGAAGGAACGCAGAGCAACAAGCCTGATCATCATTCTAGCATAGCCTTCTCTCCCCTTCCTGTTTTCTTTATCTTATGGCATAAAGAAAGAACAATGTGTGCCTTTTGTTCATATAATCTCAGCCACATTCATAATTTTATTTATGCAATTGTTGTTAATATTATATTTATTGTATTTTACAAACCTGAAAACTGGGAGATGCAAATAGAGGCTTTCTGTGCCTACGAGTGACCTTCGCTTTGGCCTGGCTTGAGTGCCCATGTTCCATCATGATGTCCTCCTCCTTTGTTTGAGGCTATACATATGTATATAAATCTCCCAGCCAGACCAACAGAAGTCTGCATAGTTATTCTTACATTTTGTTATTACTTTTGTTCTTCCGTTTTAATCCTATGTTACTTCTGATTTCCTTAAATAAAATCAGTTCTTTTTAAAAGTGCATCCTGTGCCTTATGGGTTCACACTTCATCCAATCAGGCTTTGGTTAATGTTCCAGAAAACTCTGCTACGGTCCTCTGGTGCTTTCTTTTGCCATCCAAAATAAACGTGAGTGGGCAACGTGGGGGGGGTGGGCAGCTTTTTAGGGGTAGTGCTCAGTTCACCTAGGGAGGCCCTTTTGCTGCTCACCTTTTGGTGTACAGGAGTTGCATATGCCCATAGCTGTCAACATTTCCCTTTTTTAAAAAGGGAAATTCCCTTATTCCGAATAGGATTCCTCGCAAGAAAAGGGAAAAGTTGACAACTATGCATATGCCTGCTCCGTGCCTTATATTTCTCTGTACTATTTCTGTACGTGCCTGTACTATTTCTCTGTAGTGATGTATCTAACATTTCCCACTCCACAATATTGTTATTCAACAATCTGGGTCTTTCATGAGTCCTCTTATCTCTGCTCCTCCTCCATCAGTTCCTTGCTGCCACTGTAAGCTGTTTGGGGCAGGAACCTGCCTAATTGCTTAAGCAACTATATAAAGTGCTAGGTACATTGATGATGGTATAAAAATAATAAGTAACCGTGAAGGGGTACATGAAATGGGAGTTCTAGTAGTAAATTGCAGGTGCAAAGGCCTGTCTTGGTACGCTGGATTCCCCCTCCTCTTTTTTCTTTTTTCAAAAAGGTGATTAGTCTATATATACATCACCAGAGAAAATATAAAAACAGCTTGTTCGTGGTTGTCTATTTACAAATGGTTTCTGTCTTGATAGGTTGATTTTTAAAAAGGT